TCCTGGCCCGCATTTGCCCCTCATGCCGGGGTGCGAGCCCCGGGGCCAGGCCCTGGGCCAGACCCAGAAAATACCCTTTGCAAGAAGGTTGAACATGTCAACATGTAGAGAATTATGCCAAACTTGTAGAGAATTATGATGAGTTTGAGCCAACCTGACAATAGCCAGGAAGGAAAATCTTAACACATTGAGAAAATGCTCTGGAGAATGCCAGCCTGCAGCTTGTTCTGTACATGAGAACGGAAGCCGGTGTCGGAGGGTCATATGAAACCCACTGGTGGTAGATTAAGGGGTGGGAGAAAGCCCAGCGGGAAACCCCTGGGATTGGGGAAAAGTACAGCAGAGACACTTCTTTCACACTGGTGGGCAAGGATTTAAAAATTCACACTTACAGCACCTAGAGACGCATTTGGGGGAACAAGATAACAATGAGCGGTTCTGTGGTCTCTGCTCTGGTGTGGGGGTGCCCTGAGGGGTCAGGAAAAGGAGGGGGCCCTGACATTCCAAAGGAATGGCCTGAGGTGGACACTGGCCTCTGGCAGGGAAGCTGGGGGCCTGGATGAAGTACCCGCGCGTGAAGTTTCATGCTCAGACCCTCCTGGGTGGTCACTTTCCGTCTCTGAGTTTGTAGCCGGCCTCCCCCGAGCTTGTCGGGTTTAGCATGTGTCCCATTTTTGTCCACAGAACAGCTTGGTACCCCGTGCAGGTCCTGGGGAGGAGGAGGGATGTGGTTGGTGCTTCCCAGTTCCCTGGGGACCCCAAGGAGCAGGGCCGGGTGAGCCAGCCACCTGGGTGTTGGCCTCCGTGAGAGAAGAGGCTCTTCCTGCTCCTTGGCCTTGGTGGTTTTTTTTCGGGGCAGGCTGTGAGCTCCTCAGAGGAAGGGCTGAGCCTGCAAGGGGACAGCTGAGCCCCAGACCAGGTGCCCATATCCACATGGTTGTGACAGCCCTGCAGCTGCCACTATTCTCTCCACTTTACATGTTGGGGGGGGGTGGGGAGCGGGTGGAGGATCCAGAGCCACCTGCTCCTAAGAGATAGGTCAGAGCTGGGCCCACATCTGCTGGGCTGCAAACCCCAGGTGACCTCTTCCTATCTCTCCCCCTCCCCACCTCCCGGGAGGGGACAGTGAGGACCTGCCCCTCCCAGCCTTCGGTCTGGCCCAGCCCCAGCAGCAGCCTGACCCCTCGCTCATGGAGCATCTGTGATTTTTGCGGCTGGGCCTGAGCAGTCATGCATTTCACTGGGGGTCACACAGGATCAGGATGGAGCCCAGGCCTGCGACTGTACCCCCTGCACCCGGTCCTGCTGCTTGAGGCCCAGGGCCCTGGACACAGACAAGGAAGAGCCCCGGTGGGCAGAGTCCTGGGCAGAGAAGCCTGGCTCTGGGCGGATGCCATGGGCTCAGGCTCCTCCGCCAAGGCCTCCTTCTAGCTCAGAGACAAAGCCTTGCAGACTCGCCCCTGGGGGGTCACCTTCCTAGTTGATCAGACCTCCCAGAGCAAGGCTGCTGAGAGCACGCCTTCTTCCCAGGAAGGCTTCAGGCGCTGGGGCGGCTTCAGGCGCTGGGGCGGCTTCCACTGGCTGTTTAAGAGGCACTGACTCCAGGGTCGGTGGCCGCAGCACATCCATAATTCAGGAGGCTAGGCCCCTGCCCTGGAAGAGGCTCTCTGCCTTCCCCACAGCCCTGCCCTCTGCCCCCGAGGGGCCAGCAGTGCGAATTTTCTCCATCTTTCTAGAAC